TAAAAACTTTGAAAATCTCTTTTTTTCTTCTATAAAAAGATTTAGTTGGACCTAGGTTTTATATAATAATATAAAGAAGTAATGATGTGTGTCTTAGACTTATCAATAAAAATTATCAAAAATTCTATTATATAATTTATTTTTATTCTATTTAATAAAAATATTTTATATATATATATATATATATATATATATATATACATATATGTATATTTCATCAAATTTATTTATTAATAAAGATATAGAAGATTATTTATTTTCTTATATAAATTACTTTCAAAAAACTATTTTTTTAAATCTTTAAATAATAGTAGCAACTTAAATAATATAAATAATATATCATAACCTTATACTTATATTTTTTTAGTTTTGATTACAATAAATAATCTATATTTGAAAAATTATATTAAGTATTGGTAACTGTAAAATATCCACTATTAGTTTTTTTTTACTAATATTACATCATAATTTAAGTATCTTTATTATTTAATATTGAAGATAAATTTTTTATATTTTAATTATTAAATATAAATTAAATTTCAAGATAAGAATATACTATTTTTAAATCTTGTAAATAAAATCAAAGTATAATTTAAATTATTATTTTTATTACATTAAATTTTATTGAAAGAGATAAGTTAACATGTCATTTAAAATTATTTATGGTTCTTGTACTTATTTTAATATAATATTTATTACTAATACTTAAGATAATAATTTTGCTTTTAACATTTGTTTTTTTGAATTAATACTTTTTGATTTACATTGCTCTTTTATAATATATAGAGAATTTCTAAATTTATAAAATCTACAATATTATACTGGAAAACTTTTTTATTATTTATATTTAGCTATATTTTTTTAAAAAATAAATAAAAAAGTTGATAATATTTTTACGTACTTTAAAAGAATTATGAAGTTTAAATTGTTTTTAAAATCAAGCAAAGAAATTTAGACTTTGAAGATATATATATATATATATATATATATATATATATATATATATATATATATATATATATATATATATATACATAATTTTTAGGTTTATTTCTAATAAAAATAAAATAAAAATTTTATAAATTTTTATGAAATATACAATAGAATTAAAAAATGACAATAGATGATGTAAATTTTATAATATCTTAACTTTAATTTGATAAAAATTATGTGTTAGACATCTTGTAACATTTAAATAATTTTTATTTATTTATTTATTTATTTTTTAGCATGTATAGTGGTCATTTTTCTAACTGATTATTTAGATTCAAAATTAAAAATTTAATTTTTAGTAAATTTTCTTCATATTGACGAATTAAATATTATTATCAAAATTTTATACATTTTTTTCTATAGAATAATTATTTTTTCATTTCTTTCACCTTATTATTTTTTATTTTATCATTTTAAATTTTGATATTATTTTTTAGATTTTTTCGTGTTTAATTTTTAAATTATTTAAAAAATATCTTGTCTTTCTAATGTATTTTTCATATTTTATAATTATGATTTTAAAAGCCTTATAATAAATAATTAATAGCATGTTATGATGTATTACTAAATCTTTGCATGTCAATATGTAAAACTCTTCTAAAATCTCTTGTAGGTATTTACCATGTTAGATAATAGTAAGGTTTCATGTAATTAGTATAAACTACCTTAATGTCTGAGAATAAAAGAACTAAAAGCTTAATAGAATTAGATAATCTAACATTTTCTATTTTAATCTTTATATTTTAAAAAATATTCTAATTTTTTTATAAAAAAATAGATTTTCAAATTTTAATAATTTTATTATTAACTTGCAGGAAAATTTAATACCACCCTCGACATGTATCTCATATCTACAGGTGGCATCACAATTTTTCCTTTTATAATAACATTTGTTAAAATAGAGGTTAAAATTTTAAATTTCTAACGTATTTCTTATTTGATTTAACGTTTTTTCTATTTTATTATATCTTCTTTATTTTTACAAAAATTATCCAAAATATTTCGGAATTTTTAAAGATAATCAGACTACACTCTTATTGATGTAATTTTTAAATGAAAAGATTGAATGTTTTATAGTAATTTAATTTGTCAATAAATTAAGAAACTTAGACTCTTTGGTTTTAAACCTTAGATTTGTAAAAATCATATAGGTTTTGAATATTTGGCTATTTTACTATCTTGTATCATTTCTTATGTTGATGATACATATGGTTTTGCTTACATTTGTCAATAGAAAAATTAATGTTTGGAATGTGAAAATCAACAAAAATGAGAGCTATTCAACTTTCCAATTAAACTACCAGTTTTGAGTGCTAAATATAAAAATACTATATTTATTTCCTACAAACCATTTTTAAAATTAAAAAAATTAAAACTTTGGATTTTATTGGATCAAAAAATATACATAAATAAGCAGAACGATTCAAACACACTAACCATGGGCAGCTGAACTCCATGCCAAGTTAAATTCAGAACAAAAACATTAATTTAAAAATAGTAGTTGCAAAATGCATCATACCACCGATTTGTTTTTTAAAGAAGAACTTAAACACACAACATTTTAGACACATACCACACAACAAAACTCACTTCAAAAGTTCATACTGAGCAATACATGTTTCCCCTAACAAATTTCAGTGCACCAATGCTCAAATACTCACAATCAACACTTGCTAATACACAATAATAGTGATGTTGAGATGGTAGTGGCATTCACAATTATCCATGTCCACAACTACTTCACCAGTGTTGGTTTGCAAGCTCTGATGGTTGTGTCTACTGGTGAGAAAAAGTTGCGTTCCTTGTTTTTCTGCAAGCACAACACGATGATGTCGAAGACACAGATGATATGGATTTCGAGCAGCATTTCGATGTATTTTGCGTGCACATGCGAAGATAGTGGAAGTAATGGTGAGAAGAGAGATGGAGAAGAGAATCGACCGAAAAGGAACATCTGATCATAGGTCATAAAATGAGCAAACAATTTGAGGGACTTCGCTTCTCAGATTGACCTAGTCTTTTTTACAGCCCCCAATTGTTCAAAGAATTTCTTCCGAGTTCTGAACGAAGAGTAGCCAAGTTTGCCTGGACTTCACAACGAGGTAACTGTGTTTGGAATGTAACAAAACACGTTTTGTTTAAGAGAATATCAATTGACGGCTTTGAGAAAGTGCCCACTGGTAGCACGCCCTGTTACGAGAACATCAATTAAACAACTCTGGGTTTGGTTGGAAGTTCTCCTCAGAAACCGTAGATCAACTTTTTGCACACCACGTTGTGGGTGCAATGAGTGAGTAAATCAGTGTTCATTAGCATGCGTGTATTAGCGGAATGACCAGGTTTAGTCTCAGAAGTTGGAAAAAAAATAACCTGTTTAACGAGTTGGCGATGAGTTTCCGTTTCCTAGTGCTAGTTTCAATGTGGTGGGTGTTAGCATCGGTGTGGTGTCCACCGATCTGTGAAATAAAAATCTAGTCATTCCCTTGACTCGTGCACGGCACTCCAAAGCCCACAGAACTGTCCATCTCCTGATGGGACCTCTCAGCTTAACTCTAACCAACGCACAGCTTCGCGGCCGGAGAACGACTTGCACATCACCGTCCGGTTAGATATCGTGTTCCAATTATTTCAGCGCTGGTTTCTGGGAGGAATAAACGTGATGAATGATGACCAGACATTTAAAACACTCCAGCCTCAAATACCATAATATGCTGGAGTGATTGCTCAAACAACACTTCCCCCTGGTTCTGTGTGTGTTGAAAAGTGCAAGCCATCAAGCATGCAATGAGTGAGGGTGACATTAATATTGATGCACAATGGAGTTCTCTAGCACACACGGCAAATGTTGCACCACACTGCACGGCCTCTAAGCGTCGCTTATTGGCGTTCATTTAGGAACTTTGGGCACCGGTCGTTTTGCTGCCATTTCCGGTGTTGGAGCTATGACTCTTGCAAACTAATATGTCCAAGACAGTGGCTTAGTTGTGACGTTTTGTAGACGTCAAGGTCAGGCACTGTCATTTCAGACCGAGGATGAAGGCGATTGAGAAGCTAATTAAACTTTAGGTTATTCGTATTAGTGGGACGGTGGCAGGAGCATCCACAAGTTATTCTAGTACATTTGCATGGCAAGATTCTACAAGCAGGGTAATGATAAAATCGTGTCATGCTCTTACCGTGAATTGGTAGGCACAGCTCGTTGAATTGCTGGTTGTGTTCCCTCTTACTTTCCAAACAAGCTGAGTCATCCGAAAAAGCTGACTCAAATATGAACAAAATGGATCGAGTTCTTCCGATTCTGAGACAGATTACATCACCATAAATCAATTTCAATTTCTTTAGTTTTACTAGTCTTTGCTAAGTATTCAATTGATTGCAAGGAAGAAACAGCTTCATGTTACGATTAGAACAAACCTTGGCAAGCAGGAGAGTGATGTCCAAAATGCAAATGGTATTGATTTCGGAAATCCTACGATATCAACTTATGGGTCCATTTTTAGAAAGCACTGCCATCAAATGTGTAAACCAACAGTGATGGTGGACTAGAAAATAAGGTATGTATTTGCTCCGTTACACTGTTCAATACTTACAGGTGCCAACATATTGCAAGTTGCAGTGCACAGAGAAAGAAAGTTGAAAAAATTTCCTAGCAACGATGGAAAGGATAATCCGCTGGAGGGCTCACAGCCGTGAATGAGCCATAAATGAACAAAGGAAAGAACGGTGTGGAAATGAATCCTCTTCGTCTGGGAGTTGAAACAGGTCTCTGATGTACCAACTGTTGTGAAATGCAACGAAGTGTCACCATGAATTAGATGCAAATCTTTAGCAAGTCCTCTGGAAAGTTGCCAGAGGGTTGACTTCACAAGATTAAAAAACTATATATATATATATATATATATATATATATATATATATATATATATGCAAGCCTATAAACAATATACCTCTTCCACATGATGTGACCCAAATGCTTGAGTCTTCCAGAAAGTACCATGCCCAAAATATTTGAAATAGTAAATCCTAGATCAAAACCGGCATCAGAAGTCGGTAATGAAGTGATCAATTGTATAATCCTGGCTTCATCAGAAGTCCAGTCAAAGAATGTCCCCGCGATAATTTTTCTGGAAAAGTTTACAGTGTCAGTCCTACTTCCTAAAGTCACACTTTCAACAGGGCTCTGCTTCTTTAAGAACCACATACCATGGTTCAATGAGTATGATAAATCGCTGATCATCAACACTGTTTTAAAAACTTACCTACTGAAAGCAGCACACTAGTGGCATCCTTTGACATGAGATGACTAGCATGCAACAATCCGTAAGCGGGCTCAACGCTGAGTACTTGTCAAGGCTACGACAAGTGTGGAGAGTCCCAATCTGCAAAGGCTCTACCAGCATCCGCAAAGGGTCGATCATTCACGGTTCATCAACAGGAGGAGGAATCTATATCATAGACTCGGCACCACTTCCATGTCTATGCATCTGGTGTTTTGATGGAAAGAATTCCGCTGGAACCGGGATTAGGCAATGCGGTCGATCAGATGCTGACACAAGTGACGTAAGAATTTTCCGTGAGGTAGATCGAGGAGGTTTTAAAGCGACGACACCACTAGCTTCACTTACAACTACTACTGCCGAGCGCTGCCGTTCGTTGCTTCTTAGGCAGGGGAACTGGACGCGCAAGTAGTGACTGGTCAGTGTTTCCGCATTTCGGGCAGCAGGGATGGGAATCCGAAAGCATCACGTACATGAAACAGCGCCTGCATCCCACTATCACCATCGCTTCCGGTGATCCATCCTCAGCCATTGAGTTGGGCTTTCCGTCCAATAAATTAAGCTGAGAACTCTTCGCGCCTGACGCTCTGCATGCACTGGGTTGTTGCACCTCTTCGTCGTCACCTGAAACATCGCACACAATTTGTAAGACTTACTGCATTCGTGGATCTTTCTAATCTGGAAGACGACAACTCCGGCACCGAGCAACAAATCGGGAGGGTTGAACACGGTGGACCCCGGCTAGTGTGAGTACCTTGATAGCTCATGACGGAGGGCGACGTAAAACGAGACTCTGAACAGGCACTCCACTGCGACGTGGTCTGTGATGAAGTCGAGGTTTTTGAGTATGAATCAGATTGTAGCTGGCCAGTCGAAGTGGAGACTCTTGAGGATGATAGCGCTGGCTGCGTTTTGAGATCGCTAGTGTTGAGATTGAGTCCAGGTTCAAGAATTTGTTCAAAGCTCCTCTTCTTAGACAACTGGGGAGACACAGTGTTCAAACACTGAAACCTGTCGAGCGCACTGCGAACCTTGTCAATCGTGCACACACTCTCTATTTGATTGGAGCTGGGTCTGGGCTTAGACCTGACGGTGCCTGGGAGGTTAAGAGTCAATTCCAAAGACTGGTCGTCATCCATACTCATAGAATTGCTAGTCTTCCGGATCGACTCTGAAGTCGAATCGCCCTCGTTTGCTGACGAGTGTTGAGCTGAAGGAAATCCCCACAAAAGCCTCACGGTGCTGCTGCCAACCCGGTGATCGTCCGACAAGGTTGACGGTTCCCGCTTGAGCTTCTTAAGGCTCGTCCCATCATCACTAGAATTCCTAGATGATTTGAAAACTGTGGTGTTTTTCTCAGATGAACACAAAGAGATGGGTAGGAGGCTGTCATGCTTCGTAGCAAGAGCTAGCGTAACCGATTGGCGAGGATCTTTGTAAGACAAACTGCCGGAGCTCCAATCCTTGAAGTAAACGAGACCAGTCTGCATTCAAAGAGCCATAACACCAAATCAGAAACGGAGTGAAGCCTATGTTACGAGAGTGAAAGTCCTCAAGAATCGGATCTGAAAAGTTTTTATTTTTATTTCGATGCTCCCTTGAATTTATCTCCTGCGACCAGTTCCAATCTGTCCTTCGTCACAAAATTCAACAGAACAACCGCCATCAAACCGATTCAATGATAAACGGGGTTTTCAATCCCACACCTTCAAGTCAAGGCACTTCTCCCAACCGCAAGGAAGCTGGGACTCCGGCTGCTGCTGCTGCATATCCCCCCAGAAGATCATCTCAGTTCCTTCTAGCGTGTGGTCCATCAAAGCAGCCTCGTGAGCTGCTCTCTCACGCACTATGATACCCATGTCGATCACTACTGATCAACTGCAGTTGCTAAATCGCTCCCGGGGGGATATCTGGGCGACCGCGCCACCTGATTATCTATCTCCCCACCCTGCAACTCTCAACCTTGCGGAGCAAATGATGCAAATACTCGACTGAGCCAGGAGCACCAGATTCATACAATCCCAATGGCCGACTCTAAACCCCAAGCAAGGCTAGTAAGGCTTCCTCTACACACCCCCGATCGATCACCTACCCAAAATAAGCCTTCCTCGGGTGCGTCACCGCCCTTTTTCACAGACTTAACCCGAATCTGTCGAAGCTAAAGATTACTCACCCCTCCGATCATCTTCTTCCCCATTCGGACCACATCTATGGGGCTGGGATGATGATATATGGGATGGTAATGGGGGTGGTTGGGTGTTCGGGCACGCGGAGGAGGTCGCCGGGGTGAGCTCGTCAGTAGAATAGGATTGTGCTCCCAGTCAACCGGACGGTCTCGTTTTATGCAACCATGCCACCCTGCCATTAACAGTTCCTGCAGCAAGCAGGACCCTTCCTGCCCACAGAAATGCTCTCTCTTTCTCTCTCTTTCTCTCTTTCCCAAGCGCATCATATCATCAGCCCCAAGTAATATTATTCAATTCCAAGTTGTTTCAACCCTCCAGATGCCGTTTTTAACGATGCTTTTGCTCTACACCAGTAGTACGCGCAAAGGGGGGGGGGTGGCATCTTGTAACTTCTATATTAACTGCATGCAAGAGTGGTAAAGTTGTTTGGTGTGATACAATTAACAGCAAGTTATTGGTGAAAGGAAGGACTCCTGTATTGGTGATTGGCCACTACCAACAAAGTCTCTGAGTGCATGCAGTAGACCATGGCATTCACTACAAAACTTGACCACCCTTGGCATATTATGAAGTAAACTAACCTTTTGTACACGATCCGAATCCATCTCACAGTAGGTAAATCTTTCACCATATTCTTTGCGTTAGTGACTTTTGACTTCCTTACGAAAATGATAAGTAGCATCTTGAATTCTTTTGGGATGTGATTATTCTAAATATAAATATAAACATTTATATTTTAAAAAGAAAAAGAGAAAGATTGAAAAGAAAAAAGGGTTCAATTGTTGACGAGAGAATCTGTAGAATATCTGTGTTTACAGATTCGTCGTAGCCTCCCAGAACGCTAAAAACCGGTAATCATCCCAACTTATTCACCGGAACAGTGGTCCCTTTCCTATCACCTCCAGAGGAACCTAGTAGCCAAATGCATACAGGTGGAAAAGTATCTGCGTGTGCGATTGCCAATCAAACACGGATTTCCTTGAGAGAAGATGAACAATTCTCGCCTTTGTGTAATTGACTCTGGTAACTGTTCTGCACAAAACACTTAAAAAGTGGGACCAGTTGGATGTAACTCTCTCCTGCAGCCAGTAGAATTATCCTCCGCGCACTGATTGTTTCTCCCATACAAAAATCCAGCGAGATACCTGACTGTAGTTACCGGTCCTAATCATTGTGAACATTCGTCTTTCTATAACACGAGAATGCCTAGTTGGAACCGTTCAAAACCACCACGAGAACAAGGAGTTTACACGCCATCAACCTGTAGTTTGACTCGAACTTACATAATTGAGGTACCTTAAAAATTATTTTATTTCCAGGCTGCAGACATCCAATCCAACACCAGCGCAGTCAAGTAGGCCAAACTATCGGTATCCACACAGGGTTAGACCAACACCATCAAGAATGCTTGCGTTCCACATCGAGTTACAAATTTTGTCATATGGCCCAACACGAGTAAATGTGCAGATTTAGCATTAGATCGTGGGCCTTGTGCTATCAACAAATTAAGCTCGCGAATTTGCCAAAATATTTCCAGGTTATGAAATCAGGAGTTGCAGAGCGTGCCACAGGGCGTTACTACTAAATTGCAGGATTTGAAAAGCAAAGGGAGGCAGACCATCCAAGAGCACGGGCTGGCAACGTTGCCATCGCTAAAATTGGAGGAACTCAGTATAGCGGTATTGATATAAATTCTGCTTGTCCCCTTCTGAGCAGGCTCCGACGGTTTGCCGGAAGCCAATAATTTTAGCCCGACGCCAAGTTTGCTGCGGTTTCCCCTTGGAGGTTAGTGAATAAATGCCAGGCCACCACGTTGGCCCATGAGTGAAAAAGGACACCTGGATATAGTGAACTCGTCGAAGGGGAACCCTCCGACGCTGTTAACCTTTGAGTTCGGCATGACGTCAAGAAATAAAATTTCAAGTTTCCCGCTACCCCCCCCCCCTCCCCCCACCGCATGAACCGAAGCTTGCTTGTGCACGTCCGCCCTTTCGCCACTCCGACTGGGATGGAAACAATCCAATTCCCCCCCAAATATGCTGCAGGGCACCCAATTTTGGCACTCCGAGACCAAACAAGACCGAGCGTGCGAGAGAGACAGAAGACACAGCTTAGTGCTGCATTAAATGTGAGAACGTTCGGAACTAAGTGGACGCCGCATTCAGCAACCATTGCACCACCACACCTCTCAGTCATCCACCCTTTTCACGACGCCTGCGCGCAAGCTCCCTCATCCCCAACTCCTGAATTCGCGAGTTTCTCGGAAAGTGTCCCCCTTATTCCCCCCCATTTTCACACGAAGTTCTTCTTCTTCAATCTTCACTTCGCGGTGTCCGTGCGCAGTGGGAATGACTACATGAAGAGATTGCGGGAGACGTCGCCTGCATTGTTCTGGTGGTAGAATATTCCTCTCCGCGGCAGAGCAGCAGCAACACCACCACCACTTGGGGTCCGAGCTCATCTCTATCCCTGCCATGTCATTCCAGGCTGGAGGGATCGCAAAAGGGAAAGAAAGGGAATCGTAACAACACCGATTGCACAATTGGGTGCGGTGAAGTGAATTGGGTTGAGAAAACTGGGTGTGTGTGTGTGTGTGGTGTGCCCCAGTTGCATTGCAATGTTCTTTATTCCCGTGGCATGCATGATTCTCTTTGTTGTTGTTGTTGTTGTATTTGTGTTGGGCTCCCTCGATCATCCACCATCGCTGGCTCATCGATTAGTGTGCTTTGTGCGAAAGCACAAGCGAAGCCAGCTCTGGGTTTCACTTTCTATGAATATGTGCACACACACAAAAAAAACATATATATATATATATATACTGTTGCTAATGCCACCACAGTTTTGTTACTTCCACCACAACTTATTCTTATTAATTTTTAAAATTATATTCTATTAAAATTAAGTATTTGTTTTTATATAATTTGAAAAAAAATTGATGACTTGGGATGGATGGCAGATTGTGGTGACAATAGCAATACTCTATACATATATGTATATATATATATATATATATATATATACACACACACACATGTGGATGGAACCATTGGAAATGGCACTGTGATGCAATGGGTTCATTCTCGTTATTTGTTAGAATGGTTTTGTTAAGGTGTAGGATATTGTTGAGTCTGGGGGGTGTTGGAGGAGGCATTCAAAAGAAGGTAGTGTTTGAATGGCTCAGCCAGGGAAGCTGGGTAGATGATCAAAGTGCATGCATGAAATGGATTAGTGCTTAAAAAAAGTGGAATAGATTTGGGGAGGAAATTACGGTAATATAAGGGGAACTAGTGCGCTAATATTAACATGTGTGTACCAGAATAGAGGCTATCACTTGTGTTGTATTCAGAGAAATACAAATGGCAGAAGACAAAAATAGTCTTAAAAACGTAGGAAATCATATTTGAAGCAAGGCTAAACAAAGCAATGAAACTGAAAAATGTACTCTATTTTTTTGGAAATTCCAAACTCAACCCTTTTAAAAGAAACAAATGAGAATAATAATAATAAAAAAAACAGCATTCATTTCCTAAAACATTTACCTTTATAAAGTCAATGAAGTTTTCGTTGTATATGTAGCCGTTGTGAGTATTGCGTTACTATTTGTGTATTGTAAAACTTTTAATGATTGCTTTAAAATTGTTGAACCCAAGTTAGTAAGACAATATATTTAATAATTCATTTCGAAAAATCAATATTGAAATGTAAAGGTAAAAGGATGACGACCAAAAGCATCCTTATCAAATGTTTTATCAATGTTTGATTTAATTTTTTTCAATATTCCAATGAAATCTTGGAGTGCAAATATAGACTTACTGTAGAGTTTGTCACTTAAAAATGAATTAGACAAAGTGAAATGCCATTTAAAATATTATGTGTGATGCTCGAATTCAAAAAAGCAACACAGGTAAATTGGTAAGTAAATAAATAAAAACGAGCATAATTTAGTAAGCAACAGTCATACATTTTTTTGTTTTTTTTAAAATTAATTGAGTAATTAAGTATTACAAAATTATAATAGATGTTCAATTACATACACATGGTTATTTATAGATTTATATGTTTATTTACAAAATAATGCGGCCATTATAGATAAAATAGACTAATCAATAAAAATAAAAAAAAAAAAAAAAAAAAAACTGTAGAATATGGGGAATTTGATGTCAAAATTTTGTAAAAAATATGATTTAAAAAAAATATGTAAATACTAAACTGGCATTGAATTGTTCAATATTAGAATATAAGTAAGCTATAAAATCCTGAAGTCACATCAGACCGAATATTTGAAAACATTCAAAAAGTTGAATATTACAAAAGTCATGGACTTTAAATTTATAACTAAAAATTCTAAACCTGTGTCTTGATGACTTTCAATTTTAAAAAAGCACACATGAAATCATTGGCCTCCACTCCCAATGTGAATAGAGTAGGCCCTCTTTGGACCCTCTTTTGTTGTGTATTACTTTTTTGGCTTCCAATGTGCACAAAACAGGTGCCAGAAAAGTCCCAGGCACCAGGCCAGGCCTATTCCAGGGTGGGACCAGAACTGATTCCAGGGGTGGAATCTGTGCAGAAAAGGCATGCTGCTGAGCTTGCAGAATAAGTCTCTTCCCCCAATGGAGCTTTCCTATGGGGGGGGGGGTCTTCAGTCAACAGGGTCCCAAAGCAAGTTCTTAGTGAGCCTGAGATGCAGAGATTGATGCATTCCAAGTCCATGCAAGTCTAACCAAAGCTACTATACTATACTATACACAATTCTTGTGGTTTCTAAAGAGATTGAGAAAGAGACCCCCCCCCCCTTGCCCCCACCAGGATACTTGTGGGTGTCACCTCCTCTTTTCCCAATTATTGAACAAGCCTCCTTTCCATCAACAGGGGGCTATAAAACCAATTGTAAGAATAAGAAATATGGTGCTTATTATGAAAGATGGGCTTCAATTTCATTGAGGAGGAGAAGGGCACCCTATGCTAATTGATACTGAGGTGGCAACACATTGTGTAATGTGCATGTTTGACCTACTCTCTCATCCACTGAGAGTTGTTGTTGTTGTTTGATTCCAAGGAGGATGAAACAAAAAGTGTTGAGGAATGAGAGAAAAAATGATTTGAGGGGACAGCAGAAGAATGAGCCTTTTTCAAAT